CTTAATGAAGCTTATGGAGTTCTAGCCTTCCCGATTTAGCTCCGGTGAAACTCCGACGAACTTCAACGAACTCCGGCGACAACTCCGGAGACCCTTTCAACTCCGTGAAAGTTCCTTGAATACCTTAGACAAGTTACTAACAAGTTTTTATCATTATAAAACCTATAGTAATACAAATAACCTCAAAAAGGTTATTTTCCGGCGAACCGGTCACTTTGGCTTCTAAGTCCGTTCTTGGACTTAGAACTACCTTCCAACCCCTCATTCTACACTTCCAAACGTGTAGAACCATCCTAGGGTGTGAAATATGATTGAATAATCATATAATAGGATTGAAGAACAAGAAATGGGATTAATGGAGTCATTACCTTGTTAAACACAAGTTTTCATCTCCAAAGCCAACTTTTCTCTTCTCTTTTCCCCTCTTTCTTCCTCCTTAGCTCAAGTGCGTAGATGGTGAATGAAAATGGAGTATTTCCAGACCTTATCTCTCTTCCTTAGACGGGTTGGCCGAGCTCATGGGTTTAGGAGTGATAGGGATACTCCTTTTGGCTTATTCACCAATAATGTGGGGGGAGGGACCCTTCTCCTATCACATTTGGTCTCTAAGTCATCTCTCCCCTCTTTCCTCATGCTAATGTGCGGCTCCCCTGATATTTTCCAGACAAGGGACGTGGGTTGGCCCCCACTTATGTGGGAGGTCAACCCTTTGTGTACCCGAGTGTACAATCGGTTCCGAAAGTTGTATTTTTCCGGACTGTTTTGATTATATTTTGTTTTATCGGGTCAAATAAAATATAACACTTGTTACCAATCCTTATTGGACCTTAGAATGAATATGCATTCCTCAAATTTAATTTAGAAGTCTCCGATATCCCTTTTCGGGTTGTTATCTTATAAATTGCCGATACTGATAATTGGGTCCCGTTTGACCAGCTGGTCCACTCTATGTCATTGCCACGGCCCAATTAGAATACCCACCACCATATACATATTATCTAGGCCAAGATTAATATCATACGTTGTCCCGATAATATCGGGCGGCCCCCACTTCCGATGTGGGCCCCACGTGAATTTTACTATTCACGCAAAACAAGTGATAAAAATTTACAATCATGTAAAATGCGTTTATTCATTTCTCAAGGTTCAATGCATAATTTGATAAAGTACAAATACTTGGTGGCGGTGTTACATCGACATCAGTGATATGTCATCCGAAAGGAGAATCTGTGTAACATGTCTGGGAAGCAATTTCCATTGGCGGTGGTATTCCGGGTATGCCACTGATCCTTTCCCGCATCTCTCTTAGCTCCTCCATGATGATGACCATAGGGTCTATTGTACCTGTCTGCATGTGTCTCGCCATCGGGGTTGGTGGCGTCATCATCTGGGTCACATAATGCCTGGGTGGTGAGGGTATGACGATGACTTCAGGCTCTTGTTGTCTCTGGTTATTGATGTCAACATGTAGATGGATGTCGACATGTCTAGGGATGTCGACATATCGAGGGATGTCGACATGGTCTGGAACTCGTCATCTCTGAGGTATCGGAAATGGACTGTGAAACATGTTCCTTCTGGGATTCTGGAGAGGAACACATCGGTTTGAAGGCCTCGATTCTCCAGATGCGCCAGCTCTTGAATGAGGGATAAAAGGCTCCGTAAGGGCCGAAGTGACAGTCTAAATCGGCATTTGTTGGTTGATTGAATGCAAACCCGACGTCACTGGCTTAGATCGCAGCGAATCTGGGAAGAAGCACATCGGGATATTCGGGATCGGAGTCGTCTCAGGAACAAATGGTACGTATGGAATTACCTGTGAGATGACTGTGGATTGAGGGTCGCTAGTTGGTGATAATCCCAAAGTGAGGGAAAATGACTCCGTCGTATTGACAAGTGGTTTGGTTGAAACTGGATTGGGGTCCAAGTCCAATCTTGTTGGTGATGTCATGGCATCACGATTGGGCCTTGAATTGGAAGCTATGGATGCCACCGCTTGCACTTGAGAGCGTAACACACCATTTTCTCGTTGGATGTAGGCAATCCGCTGAGCCATTTCACACCGGATTTCTTCCTTGGCGGCCTCCAGTTGTTCGTGAAATTCCACTAACAAGGGATTCGTGCTTCCGACCATGATCGATTCTTTTTTGTGCGAATTTCCCACAGACGGCGCTAAATTGTTTATGCACGAAATAAACTAATCTAAGAATGAAATGAGAACCGAACAATTATGAATCGATAATGGACTGATCGCGAATAAAAGTATATGAAATATGAATTAAATATATTAGAATATCTCGTATAGCATTGAGAGTTTGATTACAAATTGTTGAGCTTGTTAACTAGAATTAATCACGAATGATTGTGTCTCACTGGGCTAGCTACGTATCCTATTTATTAGATAAAACTTTCTCCTTCCCCAAGTTTCGTACTTGCTCTCCTTCTTTTTCTTCATGTCTAACCGATCATGCTTGTCCCTCCCTTTGTTTGTTTTTTTGACTTAGTGGAGTTCCAGGCTGTATATATTTATTCCCCCTGGGCTTGGTTTAATCACTTCTCATATTTAACTTACCGGCCCATTCACTAAGAAAATCGTAGGTCCAACCGGAAGCAAACCGGCGAGCTCATTTTTTGTCACAAACCAAGTTTATTTAAGGAAATAAATGTGTTTTACTCCGTATAAAATTTGTGAGTTGGATAATACTACCCGTAAATCTTTATGGGCTGATAAATTTGGGTTAGCTTACTTTCGTTATTAATTTTTATTCTGTTTGTTTTCAATTGGGTAAGGTCTAGCCCCCCAATTGTGTTTTCGTTTCCTGTCTAGTAATTTTTACTTCTTGTATTTCGCGAGAAGGAATGTCTTCTTGAGAGGTTTTGGTCTAATCCTCCCCTCATTTTGTATTGATTTTGCTTTATTAATAAAATATGACAAATGTTTTTCGACGTTTACTCCAATTTTGATGATTTGTCTTTTGGGTTAAAAAAAAAGAAAGAAACAAAATTCAGACAAAAATGTCATGAGGGGGGTGCCCATAGACCGTGTATGAACAATATTATTAGCCACTTGGTTTCGTATCTGTATCTTATTTCTCATTTTCTGGTAGCCGGATCAGATTTCAAGACCACGAAAGATAAAAAAAACAAAAATAGAAGAAAAGCAAAAGAAACTTGAAGAAATCAGTCTGCTGCGATTGAGGAAACTTGCTATGATGTCGCTTTGATTCGAAGTTTCTATAATCATCGGTTAGCTGCCTCATATTTCGCTATATTCTGATTTGAGCATTTCACCTTTCTTCGTTGCTTCTACCGTATAAGATTATTTGCAACCAGCAATCCTAGGGTTTAGTCTTGTGCTGCCCAGTTTTTCTCATATGATATCACTAAATTTAGTTTAGTGATTTCGCATTAAAATTTCAATGAAGTAACCCTGCGATTTTTCTCTCGATGAATGACGTTTGATTCTGTTCATTTATAGTTGAAGTTTTGTTCTGCAAGTAAATCATCCCGGGAAAACAATAATCTTATCACTAAATACTTGTTGGATATACCAATGCTTGCAAAGTTCAAAATTTTGATTTCATTTTGTTTTTTGGAGCTTTCCCTCGGTGTCTTTGTGTCTAATCTAGTATGCTTTTTCATTATTTTCTTCCTCCTTCGGCTATATGGATTTCTCTTGATGGGGTTATTGAGGTTGACAACTCTTGAAATGTTGCGTATTGGAGTTATGAGTGAGGCGTGCTTGCAAATTACGCTAGGAATGTGTTTAAGAGATTTCAGATTTGTAGTCTTTACTAGTTCTGTTGTTGGTTTTTGTTTTGTGTAATGTCACGTCAAAATAGGTGGCTGCAATATATACAAGGTAGATGGATTGCAACAGAGGTGAGGCTATGAGGTCAAAAGATATTGCTGAAAAGAGGTTTTTAGCTAAAGATGTTATTGGTGCAAAGAAATTTGCTCTCAAGGCACAGAGTTTATATCCCGGACTTGAAGGCATTTCACAGATGTTGGCAACACTTGACATTTATGTGTCTGCTGAGAAGAGAGTAAACGGGGAGGTGAATGTTTATGAAATTCTTGGCATTAATCCACAAGCAGATGAAGATGTGATCAGAAAGCAGTACAGGAAACTGGCTCTCATTCTTCATCCTGATAAGAATAAATCCATAGGGGCAGAAGGAGCCTTTAAACGTGTATCAGAAGCCTGGAGCTTGCTGTCTGACAAGGAGAAAAAGGCAGCATATGACCACAGGCATGCTAATGAGTTCCAGAAAAATGCAGGAGGTCCGTCTAAACCACCATTACAGAACGGTTTTTACAATTTCGCAAAGAATGCCGCTTCACAAAAGAAGCCTCCAAAAGGCAATGACAATACAAATCCTGCACCATCAAAAAAGCAGGAGCGAAGAACCTTCTGGACTGTTTGCTATCGGTGCAAGGTGCAGTATGAATATCTTCTGAAGTATCTCCACCGGAACCTTCTCTGTCCAAACTGCCACGAGGCTTTCTTTGCAGTGGAGATCACCCCCCCTTCTAATGGATCAAAAAAATCCACTGAATGTGACAACTCTCAGCCCCAAGAAAATTTGAAACATCATGGGACAAACAAGAAGGTTCCCAGTAGTGGAAAAAGTAACCCAGGCCCTTCAAATGTGAAATCTTCAGGATTCCAGTGGAGCCCCTTCTCTAAAACTGCGGGCTCTGCATCCGCTGTTCATGCAGCAAGTGTGGTTCAACAAGCTTATGAGAAAGTGAAAAGAGAGCGTCAAGAAGCACAAGCTGCAACAAAAAGAGAGGATGCATTACGAAGGAAGAATTATTCCTCCAAAAGAGCTCATGGGATGTCAGTAGCTGGAAACCCCAGTCTCGGCAAGAGGAAAAGAGACATGGATAATCAATGTACAGGTCGGGAAACATCAAAGGAAGGCATGGAAAGCAGTTCAACCTGCAGAAAGAGTTTGTCAGGACAAGTCATGTCGAAAGGTAGGAGTATACTGGGGGATATGGACTTGCTGTATCCTGATGTTAGGGATATGCTGATAGAGAAGGCCAAGCAACAGATACAAAGGAAGGTGAAAGAATGGAGCTCGCCTACCATGGCTTCCACTTTTTCTCCAAATCTAATGAATGTCCATGAGACGCCGGAGAGAATAGAAGTTAGTGCCAGACAAGATTGTGAGCGAGCTACTAGTAGTTTTGAAGTGCCTGCAGAGAAATATGATTTTGGCACTGCTGGGGGCTATATATGTGGTGGACTCTTTGAGTACTTTTCAGTCGATGAACTAGATTCTGATTTTTACAACTTCAATAGAGATCGAACAGAAAGCTGTTTCAGAGGTAACCACATATGGGCAGTATATGATAATGATGATGGTATGCCTCGACAATATGCCATGATCCATAATGTTATTTCTATAAATCCTTTCAAGGTTAGGATTAGTTGGCTTAACTCGCTTACAAACAATGGACTAGGTCCCCAATACTGGTTTGATTCTGGTTCCTCAAAAACATGTGGCAGCTTTATGAAGGGTAGACGTGAAATCCATAGCTCGCTGAACTGCTTTTCTCACAAGGTTAGGTGGTCAAAAGATTCAAATGGAGTCATTCAAATATTTCCTAGAAAGGGAGATGTTTGGGCTTTATACAGAAACTGGTCTAGAGATTGGAATGAGCTCACGGACAGTGATACGATACATAAGTATGATTTGATGGAAATATTTGATGATTATGATGAAGAGGAAGGGGTAATTGTTGCCCCTCTTGTGAAAGTTGCTGGTTTCAGAACAGTTTTTCACCGGCATTTGAACCCTAGTGAAATGAGAGTTATCCCAAGGGAAGAAATTTTCCGCTTTTCTCATCAGGTACCATCCCATTTGCATACAAGCCATCAAGAATCTGCAAATGCTCCGAAAGGTTGTATTGAGTTGGATCCAGCTGCTTTGCCTTTAGAACTTCTTCATTTTATTCCAGATGTCGATGAGGCTGAACACCTATCTGATGAGAGAAACGAGGAAAATATTAATGGTTCTCTAGAGAAGACTACCGCCACCAATGGGAGTGCTGAGAGTTCCCAAGCCTTAAAAGTCACTGATGGGATTTTAAAGGATTCCTTAATTAACCTGGATTAGTGTTCTGGGGGGTGAAGTAGCATGGCAGATGATTGCAAACTATGAATGTATAGAGCTCATCCACCGTCGCATAGGTATTTTTCAGTGACTGATTATATATATATTCTGATTTTACTCTGGCTTGAAGCTGTTAAATCATACAGTGCCGCAAAAGCTATATCTTATCTGCAAATTGAAGATTGTCACGATTCTTTGATGGCAAGCTCCAATTGTGGATGTGAATAATGCCAATGGTTCAAGACAAAACAGTGGATATATCTTTGTGTAACATTTGACAAACAGATGGAAAGTTTTTCAATTCTCTAGAGCTTTTATCAACAAAGATTGGTGGGAACCGTACAGGGAAAAAGTTTTATAGTCATACATGACTCTTAAGGAGTCACATGAGTTCATGTGGCACCATCGTCATCACCCATTTTCATACTGGGGTGACCCCATTATGAAAATGGGTGAGGAGGATGAGGACGCATAGGCTGCTTCAATTTTTTCACTGGGCATTGCTGCCACCTTTTGTTTAGTGCATATTACCTGATTGCCTCCGTGTTTCCTGCCTTCCAGTTTTTAATCAAGGACCTCCTGCATACCTAATCATATAGCCAATACACCATAGGGTCTCACTTTCCTTCGCTTCTCTCTCTCTCTCTAAATTTGTTTGCCGTTGATTTATTGATAAATGGACCAAGCCTTGAAATATAATAAAAGCCGCATTTTCCAATAATATGTTTGTACTTTGTACTACCTTGCCTTGAAACATAAATCTTAATATGAATTTAACTCCATAAACTAATCCTGAAACTAATTTCAAAGGGCCTTCATTACATTCTTGTTTGCTGTAGTTGAATGGGCGTTCCTTTGATTCGTTTAAGTATGGGATTTACATGGATTTTCTTCAGCTTTGATTGATTTTATGGGATTTATATTGATTTCACGGGATTTATTGTTGCTTATAAATTGTGCTTTTGACTTTTATCTATGACTTTTGAAGACATTGTAATATTTATTATTTTATTTTATTCTTCACCTTTTGTCGCTGTAAAGGATGAATGGATGACGGTGGCCGGACTGCCGGAGAATATGAGATTTGATGTGAGATTAATCAGAGAATATATCCTCTAATGTGCAATGACCTTACATAAAAATGAAAATAAATTCCCCATTACAATGAGACTCTCATATAGGGCATGTTTGTTATTGGGTCGACTGAATTTATTGAAAGTGGTGAAATTCTGATTCAAATGAATTGATTGAATCTCCTAAATAGTAGAAAAGTTATACGGAGTATGAAAGATACTCAAAATGGACTTTTATAAAATGATTAAACCAATGATGAGAAAGTAGCACAAGCCTTTTCCATTTACGTAACATTTTCTAATATAAAAAGCTCACATATCACAGAGTGATATTAGCCTTTGTTAGCAGCAATGAGTTGTATACTTGTATAGTTGTATTAGATTGATTTTCAACGGGTTTTCAGTTTTTGGTGCCCACATTCAACACAAAATATATTATTATTATTAATAAAATACCCGTAATATTAATTCTGACATTCTTCCATAGACACGTACGCGGTACGCCACTATTAAATAAATAAAAAAATATCAAGACTAGGATGAAAAGTAAAGAACAACAAACAAAAGGAGAGCTAAAACTATACAGTATGAAATCACCAAAGCAAAACTATTCGCCCCCCAGCCCCTTTTCTTTCTATTTTTTGGAGAGGTCCTAATCGCTTATCAGTTTCCTTTCCAAGTAAAAAATGTCTTAGCATATATGTCTTTCTAAGTAAAGTAGGTATCACACCACATTCTTCTACTGCCATTTCTTAATTCTCATGTAACGTCAAATGCATAATGTGAAATGGAAATGGGGGACATTCATTTTATCTTTATATTTTAAAGGGACACTATCAAATAAACCCTCATACTTTCATAAAAAGTGCAAATAAGTCCTTTTACAGGACGTTTTGTCCGGCTGTCACCATTTAGGCTGGTTTTCGGTGCAATTTTTTGATGTAATTTTTTGAGCATCTTCTTAATTAAGTCTAGTTTACCCATACCAAATTTCAGCTAAAAATTCAATCGAGAAGACAGTCAAACGATTTTCTAAAATATACTGCGCTGCCTAACTGCGCAGTTATCTTCAAAAATTCATTTGACTGCCTTCCCGATTGAATTTTTACCTGAAATTCGGTATGCGTAAACTAGACTTAACGAAGAAGCTGCTCAAAAAATTTCATAAAAAAATTACACTGGAAACGGCCCTAAATGGCGATGACATGACAAAACCTACTTTAAAAGTTCGAGGGTTTATTTGATAGTTCTCCCTTATTTTAAAAGATTATTATTTAGAATGCAAAGCTAAATAAAACTAGTTAAACAGGAACTCATAAATAGCAACATATTAAAACAACACTATGAATAAAACTGTAGTTTAAGCAATTAGGAGATGCTACGTTTGATATAGAATGTATTTGACAGTAACATTTAACAAATAATGTAAGAAATCGGGTTGCGCACTCACACGGGATTCCAAATAAAATTTAATAAGGTGTTGATGGATGTTCATGAATGCTATAACATTATATTATACGAGTAATATTGTGATTATTTTTCAGAACTTTATACTTTGCCAACATTTTGATAGACGCGAAGTGAGTATATAGTGTAATAAGGATTTCTAGAAATGAGGATTTCTAGTTATGCAATCACGGAGGAACTGGGGAAATATTCTTAATTAAAAAAGTGTGTGCTCCTTTTCTTCCCCACCACCAAAGTATATAGCCTAACAGAATTGATGGCTTGTTGTATTAGAAGAAAGTTTAGAAAAATGTGGGGGGATTTCAAAGTGCCAAAGCCTTCCCACCCCTCTGACAAAATATTTCCTACAAAGAAACATCTCTGCATATGTCCTCTCTGCCTTGCGGTTCACATCATGCAAGAACACATGCGTGACCCCAGACTGCTTCCGGTTCCGCGCCATCACTGCAGCAGAATATATCACCGCCATCCTTCCTGGAGCCTTCGGGAACCAGCCCCGTGGCGCATCAATCATGATCAGGTCCCACTCTTTCTCATACACCTCATTTGGCAGTGAGTCCAATGCCAACCTGCATCGGCTGTTGCCTCGCAAGTACGACATCTTAGCCCAGCACTCCCTTTCGGTTCGGAAGTGTTGAGCTAGCTCGTCGGCTTCGTAGAGGTGAGTGCGATATTCCACAACTCTAGCATTCAGGTTCGGGGCAGACTCCAGCACGGCGGAAACCCACCTCGGGTCTTCCTCGAGGAATAGGGTGGTGCCGTGTGGATTAAGCGAGGCCCACATCAGGGAATCGCGGCCCAACCCGAACACCAGAAAGTTGCACGGGGCAAGTTTCTGTAGAACATCAAAAGAAACTCTGATTTCTTTAATGGTTTGTTGAGGCACAATCGCTGTTGTGGCATAGTGTAGAATAGCCTCCAGCTGGAGTTGACCCGAACTCGAACTCGAACTCGTGTGACCATATGTTACTTTCTTTTCAGCAATTTTACACTGGATGGGGTTGTTGGTTTTCTTTATAAAGGGCATTATAAGAACAATGCCACCAAGAAAACCAAGGATTGTTATGCCAATGAGACACACATTTTCTGCAGGCATATTAAAACGTAGTGTTTTAATGTGCTTTTTGTGTGACGCTGTGTTGTACACATGATGCATCTACCTAGGAGTTGGGATAAGTGGAATTTTGGATGTGAAGTATTTGTGGAGGTGCAAAGTGCAAACAATGCCCAAATATTAATTAATGACTATTTACCATTCGTAATAATGGCTGACACATATATATAGACTGAGCTGGGAGGTTACTAAGGTAAATGCTTATTGTACCCTTAATTATAATGCAGTATAGAACGTTGACCTTTAATGAATGAATATTTGGAATATCAATATAAGACAGTTCTTCAAATAGGCCGTCATATCAAGGGCGTAGCTCACCTGGTGGGAAGAAGGTGCTACGAGAGAGGTCTCGAGTTCAACTTCAAGTAAAGATTTAAGTTAGAATTTCACTCTCTTTTCACCGGTGTGTAGTCAAAGCTCCATTTACATCATCACCCTCCAAAATAGAGTGTCATCATTCTTTTTCAAATAGGGCATCATTATTTTCTCAAAATAGGACAATATTCACTCTTAAAAGAACTTTAACATTTTTAAATATATTATTTTTATCCTGATATACTCCGTATAACATAAGTCTTAACTAAGATAAAACTATATTTAATTAGTCATATTTGTTACCTAGTCGGTCTATGTTTCACTTTATTAATCTAATTAGCTAGTCTAATGACGAATGAGGCTGAGAGAGAGCTATTTAATTTAGTCCCTACTTTATTAGTTATATATAACTTACTTTTTTGAGTACAACATTATTATCTTCATACGTTTCAATGCATTTTCAATTTTGTATTATGAATTATCAATTTTGTATCAAGTACACTTTCAATGCCTCAGGTTCTTAAATTAAGTAATATGTAGTCACTACAAAAAAAAACGCCGTTTGTCACGGATTTTTGTCACGGATTCCGGCCGTGACAAATTTGTCACGGGCTTTGTCACGGAATTCTGGGATTTGTCACGAAAATTATTTGTCACGGATAAATCCGTGACAAAATCCGTGACAATATTTTGTCACGGATTTGGTCCGTGACAAATTTACTCCGGCGACCGGTTTTTTACTCCGGTGAATACTTTTTTGCTTCCGGGCATTTGTCACGGACAGATCCGTGACAAATCGGTGACAAATTTCAAAAAAACTCAATTATTGATTTTCCAGCGATAACCTTTAATAATGCGGTACAGAAAAAGATTTGTCACGGATAAATCCGTGACAAATCCGTGACAAATTTTTTTATATAACCCAACTCCATCGTCCATTACAATTGCAAGAACAACAATCAGTTCAAAAATTCGTAGATTCGAGTGATGTAGTATCGGTTTAAAGATTGAATGATGTAATCCGTCAGTTCATCATTTTCCGAGTTTATGCTGATAAGGTATGTCATTTTAATTAATTTCTTTTAATTGTGTGATAAATTAATTATTAGCTTAATTAATTAATTATTATTAGTGAGGTTAGGATTCTTTTTTCTTTATATAATAATAATAATTAATTATTAGCTTAATAATTAATTAGTGAGGTTAGTTATTGTTCATTTATTTAAACTATTAACGTAATTTAGTGAGGTCATGTTAATTTTCATATTATTAACAATATATTATTAAACTATTAACGTAATTTAATTAGTTAAATTTAAATATAAATATTAATTAGTTAAATTATTGTTATTATTAATGCATAATAATTTAGGATGTGTAGTGATGATTTAAGTATTAGCTAGCTTATTATAGATTAATTAATTAGTGACTTGTAGTGATTTAATTAATTAGTTAGCTAGCTTAATTATTAGGTTATTAATTATCACCAATTATTATTTATTAGCAATTATTGTTAATGGGATGCATAATTAATATAGCTAGCTAGGATTGAAACTTTATTATTATTTAGTTTAGTGTGAATTATTATTGTGAATTATTAATGAGATAATATTTAACAATAATATTAGTTAAATGTAAATTAATTAACTAATTAATTAAGTTAAAACATTGAGGAAATGGGTTTAGAATTTGATGAGTTGATAATATTAGTTAGATTTAAATATTAGTTAATTGATCAATGATGATAATGCATGATTAGGTTTAATTTGTTTATTAATTAGTTAATTATTGTTAATGCATAATTTAGGATTTGTAGTGATTTAAGTTAGGATTCAAACTTTATTAGTTAAGTGTGAATTATATATTATTGTGAATTAATTATATTTAACAATATTAGTTAAATGGAAATTAACTAATTAATAAGTTAAATTATTTAATTATTGTTAATGGGATGCATAATATATATAGCTAGGGTTGAAACTTTATTTTTATTTAGTTTAGTGTGAATTATTATTGTGAATTATTTTTGTGAATTCACAATAATAATTCACAATATTAGTTAAATGGAAATTAACTAATTAATTAAGTTAAAACATTGAGGAAATGGGTTTAGAATTTGATGAGTTGATGATATTAGTTAGATTTAAATATTAGTCAATTGATCAATGATGATGATTAGGTTTAATTTGTTTATTAATTAGTTAATTATTGTTAATGCATAATTTAGGATTTGTAGTGATTTAAGTTAGGATTCAAACTTTATTAGTTAAGTGTGAATTATATATTATTGTGAATTAATGATATTTAACAATATTAGTTAAATGGAAATTAACTAATTAATAAGTTAAATTAGTTAATTATTGTTAATGGGATGCATAATATATATAGCTAGGCCGGGTTGAAACTTTATTTTTATTTAGTTTAGTGTGAATTATTATTGTGAATTATTATTGTGAATTATTAATGAGATAATATTTAACAATAATATTAGTTAAATGTAAATTAATTAACTAATTAATTAAGTTAAAACATTGAGGAATTTGAGTTGATAATATTAGTTAGATTTAAATATTAGTTAATTAATTGATCAATGATGATGATTAGGTTTAATTTGTTTATTAGTTAATTATTGTTAATGCATAATTTAGGATTTGTAGTGATTTCAGTTAGGATTCAAACTTTAGTAGTTAATAATTAAAACGATTAATGCCATTAACATATTACTATTAGTTAAATATTAGTAAATCAACGCTTTTAGTTAATGTCACAAATTAAAGTTGGTTAATTCAAATTATTAATGCCACAAATTAAATAATGTACTGCTTTTAGTTAATTAATAATATTAATGTACTTATATATTATTTTGATTATAATATATATACAGGCATAATGTATAGACAAAACAGAAGTTGGATGTACCAAAAACATCGCGATAACTATGGAATACGCAGTGAATTTTTGAATGGTGTTGAAGATTTTATTAAATTTGCACAAGAACAGAAGAATTATATGGATGGAGATAAAATCAGATGTCCATGTACAAAGTGTAAAAATCTTCAATTTAAAGATGTCGACCAAGTTGTGTGGGATTTGTACGAAAAAGGTTTCGTTGCCAATTATTATAATTGGACTTCTCATGGCGAACCTTTCGATCCATCACTTTTACCGCAAACAGTGGGTTCATCTCGTAACGTCCCTACCGAGATGAGTGGATGGGGAGACTATGATCAAATGACGTGGGATCAAAGAATGGCATATGATGTATACGGTGCTTCAACGATGCAGTTTAACCCACCACAGCCATTTAACGATCTTCCCGAAGCTTCGACCTCGTATCAACCCGATGCGGATGAAGATCAGACCTTTTATCAGTCTGCTGCGGATGAGTATCCGAATTCTCATGTTCCTCATATTGAAGACTTAGCTGAAAGATTTCAAGATGTTTTAAAAGCTGCTGATCAGCCTCTGTATGCTGATTGTGAGGGATACTCTCAGCTATCCGCCGTTACAGAGTTGATGAACATTAAATCTGAATACAATCTTCCTGAATCTTGCATGTCTAGGTTATTGCAGTCATTTGTAGGAATGTTACCGCGTGACCATAATCTTCCTGATTCATATTACAAAATGAAACAATTAATGTCTCAGTTGGGGCTTCCTTGTATAGAAATTGATGCGTGCCCAGAAGGATGTATGTTGTTCTGGAAGGATGATGTGGCACTTGAGACCTGCAAGTTCTGTGGTGGAGAGAGATACAAGCCTGTTCCTCATAGACGAAAAAAACCACGAAAAAGGTCTGCATTGTCTAAATTGTTTTACCTCCCTCTAGCTCCACGCCTGCAGAGGATGTATGCTTCAAATGCTACTGCGAAACACATGACGTGGCATGTTGAGCACGAAACCAAAGAGGGTTTGATGTCTCACCCTTCCGACTGTGAAGCTTGGAGACACTTTGACCGTTGTCATCCTCAGTTTGCAATGGAGCCACGGAATGTGCGACTGGGATTGTGTTCAGACGGATTTGCTGCTTTTGGAAAGTTTGGGAAGAAATTTTCATGTTGGCCAGTCATGTTAACTCCTTATAATCTTCCTCCCGACATGTGCATGAAAAGTCATTTCATCTTTTTAACTTTAATTTGTCCAGGTCCCTCGGATCCTAAAGCCATTTTTTTCTCTTACGCTTCCCATTTCCTTCAGCAAACCCTAACTTTTCCTCTCTACTCCCTTACGCCTTCCGACACCCGCCGACCGCCACCCTCCCAAACGCCTCCCACTCCGCCGCCCTGCTGCCTCTCTTACACCCGCCAACCGCCACCCTCCCAAACGCCTCCCACTCCGCCGCCCTTCTGCCTCTCTTACACCCGCAGACCGCCGCCGCACACATCTCACCGGCCACCGCGGATTATCTCCACCCCTGCCGCCGTTCTTCGAAGCCGGCCTTCTCTTCTTTCCCTTTCATTTCTTGCCTTCTTCTCCGAGGTTATGTTTCTAACTCTTTAATTTCCGAATATTTTAGAATAAATGTTTTAAAATGCCAAAAAGAAAATGCATGTTTTTCTTAATATTCTTTAATTGTTTGATTTAATGTGTATATGTTAATAAGTTATCATGCATGGAATATGTGTATATGTTTAATGTTTACATGTTTCCGAATATTCACATGCATGCTCGAAATTTTATGACATGTTTTTAATTATTTAATGCATGTTTTTCTTAATATACATGCATGTTTAGACGTTTTTCATAATATTCATATGCATGCTCGTAAATTTAATTATTTAATGCATGTTTTTCTTAATATTGTTTTAATGTTTATATGTTTCCGAATATTCATATGCATGCTCGTAATTTTATTGCATGTTTTTAATTATAGTCGGATTACACGGATATAATGCATGTTTTCCGAATATTCATATCCGAATAGTCGTAATTTCCATATAAGGCATGTTTTTCTTAATATTCATGCATGTTTAAATGTTGTTCTTCATATTCATATGCATGCTCGTAAATTTAAAAATGCCTGCTTTAGAATAGTTAATTATTAAATTTTTAGTCAAGGTTATTTTGAGTTTTTGTTAATTTCGGATATTTATTAAGAATAATAATTTCAACTCCATTAATTTTCGCCCCCTCATGTTACACTTTCAAAAAAGTTAACATGTCTAACCCAACAAAATAATGAAACTGTTAATTTTTTTTTTTAATAATATTTCGGATATTATATTATTTTTTTAATATTATAAAACACTTTAAAAATTTTTGGATTATTTAACTGATTTTTAAATAATTTCGGATATTATAATATTTTATTTTAAATAAAACGTTGTTTCATAAATAACATAAAACAGAAATGAAGTAAAAAAATGTATTTTATATATTAAAATAGAAATAAAAAACCAAACAAACTGTTTTTGTTTATATAATACGAAAATGATTTCATATGTTTCATGAAAAATTGATTTTATGGGTTTCATGAATAAACAAAAAATGAAACTGATTTTTAAATTTTTTTTTGAAAAAATTGATTTTATAGATTTTAAAAATAAGGTCACTGTTTTTTTATAAATTAATACCATACACAATTAAATTCAATAACATAAAAATCATACAAAAAACTCATTCTACCCCTCATATTAAACTCAAGTTTAATATGTTCTATATTTCAAAGATTGATAAATACGTAACACAATTAAATTCAATAACATAAAAATCATACAAAAAACTCATTCTACCCCTCATATTAAACTCAAGTTTAATATGTTCTATATTTCAAAGTTTGATGAATAAATAGGAAACTAATAAGTTTAAACCATTATACCACACAAAAACTTCATAAACTGATTTTAGAAAACTGTTTTTTATAAATAATACCAAATACAAGATGTAATAAATTGTATTTTTCTAAATTAATGCAAAAAACTGATTTTCGATGATTTATAATTTAATAGGGAAAAACTGATTTTATTAGTTTAAATTAAAAAGTTTGATCAATTGATTTTATATAAGGTTTCATAAAAAATATACACAACACAAGTTACCTCCATAACATAAAAATCATCCAAAAAACTTGTTCGACCCCTAATATTAAACTCAAGTTTAATATGTTATATTTATCAAAGTTTCATACCACACAAAAACACCATAAAATAATACCTAACATCATGAAATTCAATAACATAAAAATCATACAAAAAACACATTCTACCCCTCATATTAAACTCAAGTTTAATGTGTTCTATATTTCAAAGTTTGATAACCAAATAGGGAAACTCATTAAGTTTAAAATATCATACCACACAAAAACCCCATAAACTGATTTTATAAGGTTTGATAAAATAATATCTAACACAATTAAATTCCATAACATAAAAATAATATCATTTGACCTCTCATATTAAACACCAGTTTAATATGTTCTATATATTATTTCTCAATAATTTTAGATGAGTGAGCACGAGCGCCGCCTTTCCACCATTGCTCGTCGTGGGCGTCAGAATTCACGACGGGCCTCAAATGCTGATCGTGATATCAATGATGATATCAATCCCGACGAAGGACAAGCTCTTGACGGACATGTCCAAACTCCTCCCTCCAAACAATCAGACGCTCATATAAGCGTGCATGGGGAGGGGGCATCATCTCATGCACCTCCTTCATCTCGTGCAATATATGCCCCCCCCCCCCCCCCCCCCCCACTCAAGAAGAGCGCCACAATCCCGGTTCGCTTGAGGTGACACCTCAATCGATCCATAGGTAATAAAAAACTAGCATTCTCTAATATAAAATAGTATAATCTCTTTATCTAAGAATTAATACAATTGTTTTTATCAATTATCAATTTTTTGAAGCGATTCCGAGGTCTTGAATAGAATCAAGGCTATTGTTTGTGGTCATTTCACCGGGCCGTGGTCGACTTATGGTGAGGTTCCGGCGGCCACTCGTGAACTATGGTGGCGGTTGTTCAAGGTAAAAATAAATATTTTTGTTACATTTTAGTAACTTAAATTTAAGAAATGATGATATATCAATGTTTTTCATGAAGGCTTCCCATCGTTGGCATTTTGCCCTAGACCAAGCGATTCTCAAAGAATACAATTCTAGGATTTCTGGGTGGTTGAGACCCACTTTTAGGACCGCCCGGTCTACGGGTAAAAAGCCAAAGTTCCTTGGCGATGATGTGTGGGAGATGCTTTGCCGCCACTGGGCTACGGATGCCTCATTTTTGCTGAGAAGCGAAATGGGCAAGGCAAACCGGGCTTCCGAGAAAGCCAAGGAAGTTCAATGGCACGGGGGCCGCAAACCCCAAAGTCAACATAAAAAAGATCTGGTAAACTCTATTTAGTTAAAATTATTTCCATTCCATACCATTATGTATATATATTTTTTTATTAACTTTGAAATCCGTGTAGGAAGGATCTGGACCCGTGAAAAAACGGGTCACGCCATTGAAACTCATGGCACATTGCTGGACTAAGAAGGGTGCCATGCCGCCTCCCCGCCTTTCTGAAATTGAAGTAAATAATGAAACATAATTCAATAAATTTCGATTTTTTTAGATCTCTTATATAATAAATTTTTGAACTTGTAGAAAAAATATGAGGAAGAGCGGGGGAAGAGAGTTGATGAGCTAGCTGATTCTGATGACGAACTTGATGAAAATCAAGATGATGAAGCCATCTTGGCGGCAACCGGAGTTTACAAGGGCCGGGTGCCGTTTATGGGTTCTGAAGGCGTACGGATCCTCGAGAAGACCAAAGGAGCTAGCTCATCTTCTCATTCAGCATATGATGATCGGGTTACCCGCCTCGAGAAACTATTGGAGGAACGTGAAGCCGAGGCTCGAAGGCGGGATGAAGAAGCTCGGATACGGGATGAAGAGCAAAGAAGAACAAGAGAAAGGTTGGAAGAGATGGAACGCCAAATGCGTATTTTCAACGCCACCTACCGTCCATCCATGCACATACAACACCCCGAGATGACCCCACAAGTTCCCTTCGCGGGCAATATGGGCAATATGGGTAGTAGGGGTTTTGCTAATTATAGCCACATCTCCAACAACTTTCCATATGGATATTATGACGATATCCCGACTCCCGGAGCTCAAGCTTACCGTGGCAGCAGCCGTGCTGGCAGCCGCAGTGGCAGTCGAGGCGGTCATCGTGGTGGCAGCCGTGGCCACGGAAGGCAACCCGATCATCGTGACGAACCTGATGATGCTGATGCTGATTATGATGACCATTGATGGTTTGTAATAATTAGTTTATTAACATTTTAAGGATTTTAAAATTTTGATGTGTTAATGTATGAATATTAATGTGTAATGGTTTGATTGTGTTTAAATAATAGTTTATTTGTGTTTTATAATGATGGTTTGATTAGATTATTATTTATTATGATACCTAATGTGTAATGGTGATTAATGATGATTGTTTAATTATTTATTATAAACAATTATTTATTATGATTATTGTTTAACTATTTATTATTAAGTTTAATTTTTTGAAAAAGCGCCTAAATTTTAATGGTTATTTTTATTAAATAAACTTTTGAAATAAGCTTTTAAAAATGCGCTGAATTTTTAATTTTTTTTTAAAAATTTAAACTTTTGTCACGGATTGTTCCGTGACAAAATATAAATTCATTTTATTTTAAATACATAAAACGCTAAATTAGCGTATTTTTTTTTAAAAATGTTTTGTCACGGATGGGATCCGTGACAAATTCAAAATTTTGAATTTTTTGAAATTTTTAAAGCTCCCGCCCACTCTATTTTAAAATTTTCAATTTTTTTTCAAAATATTTTGTCATGGATATGTCCGTGACAAAATTTAAAATTTGAATTTTCCGTACCGTTTCAAATACCCGCCCACTCTATTTTGAAAAACCTTTTTTTAATTTGTCACGGATATTTCCGTGACAAGTAATTATTTTTTTTTGAAAAATAAAAACATTTATTCACGGATGCGTCCGTGACAAATGAAAGGCGATGGGATTCCGGTGAAGTGTTTTGTCACGGACCGTGGCCGTGACAAATCCGTGACAAACAATCTCACGGATTAATTTCCGTGACAAAAACGTTATCACGCCCCTGGTGTCACGGATGGGATCCGTGACAAATCCGTGACAAAAAATCATTTGTCACGGATTTTTTGAACTACCGTCCGTGACAAAATCCGTGACAAACGGCGTGTTTTTTTGTAGTGAGTACTACATACATTTACAAATTTAGCTTCATAACTTTTGTCTGTGCTTGTTAGTAGTCCGTAGCATCGGTGGCGGACCCAGAAAATCAGAGTCACATGGTCTCTACCTTAATGTAACTCTAACCAATAAAAAATTAAAAAAAATGTAAGTAGGTATATAATATTAAAGTAGCATAACATTTCATAGTTAATGTACATCATCAAAATATTAAGAAATTTTATCAATTCAGGACCTTAAAGATAGATAAATTATAAATTCGGTACCCAAAAGATGAAATGTATTAATATAGGACCCGCAAGATGAAAATTATCAATCTAGGATCTAAGATTTCATAGATTTTGATTTATTTATTTTTTATTAATTCCTTTGCTATTTTTTTATAAACTTTTTTCCACAAAAGTTTATTAGTTTAATAAAACTAAATAATATTTAAAAATTTTAACATAAAAATAATAAAAATTCATGACAATATAGGTCTGAGATTGATAGTCTTCAATCATTCAAGTCCTAAATTGACAATTTTCATCATTTGAGTCTTATATCTATAAATTTCTTCTTTCAGGTCTCAGATTGATAATTCATTTACCTTTCAAGTTTTGAATTGATAAAATTCCAAATATTAAAGTAGTACAACGTTTCATAGTCCCTACTATGGCGCATCTGGTCTTGAACATTAGGATGCAAATCAACAATTTTTTTTCTCAAACCATGATAAACTTCTAAAGATTCAAAATAAACATGTTGATCATGTGGATTGTCAACCAAATTAATTTCATATTCACCAACTATTTTATTCAATTCTTCACTTAATAATGGAAAACATAATAGAAATTTTAATAATTAATTGAATTATGTAAAATTGGGGATTTAAAAAAAAAGAGGAACATGAGTGAGAGGGAATCCATCCTTGCACCTCCAAGAAAAGGTTTTTAAAGTCTTTCCTCCATTGTTCTATTCCATTCTTTGGGACTCATACTTGTTTTTGTGTTATATATACATTTATAAGTAAATTTTAAATAAAATATATAAAATATATAGATATTTTTTGGAAGTACACGGGGTCCCGAGACCCCGTAGGACCCTCAGTGGGCCCGCCACTGTGTAGCATTATTTAAACTCTTGCACATCCGTTATGTAACTAATAGATCTATTCATATAAAGAAATTTTATATCGAAATACACAATATTAGACAAAAAGCGCACTAGAAAAACTCTCGCTAGCTAAATAAAATATTTTTAGTCATTTTTTGATTTATTTTCACTAAAATTTCATTTTTTTTCAAATTGTTTTTCCCAGTTGTGTTACCAATGACTAATTTTAGTTAAAAAATGAAATTTTACTGAAAATAAATAAAAATGACTATTTTTTTAATTTAACTTCAATACATTTATAGAATTTTCGTAATTTTTTTCACATATTTAAAAATATTTAGTTTGAAAATTTATAAAAATATTTCTATATCTTCTGAAAATTGAGAGTTGATAGTTGGGATTAATAAAAAAAGATCGACTACAATTGATAGTTCACATTTAAATTTGACCTGCTATATCAGGTTGTAGCCGGTCAGGGACTGTTTTTAAAAAATGGTCCTATAGTTGGGATTATCAAATAATAATCGATAATTGAGATTATTAACAGCGAATCAACAATAGTTAGGCTTATTATTTTCAAATTTTCCTGAGAAAATTTCTCACAAGAAAATAAACATTCTTTAAATTAGAAAAAAGAATAATTCAAAGTCTGATACTCCGTATAATATGCCACACCCTTGCATCACTTTTGAGGTGAGGTTTCTAATTTGTGACGGAACTACCACCATGCATGCTTTTATGCCCAATTCTTATATAGGGGTGGGAAAATATACCGAAATTTCGGTATACCGGCCATACCATACCGAAAAATACCGAATTTATTGAAATTTTCGGTATACCGAAAAGTTCGGTACGATATGATACCATACCGGGTCACTTCGGTACGGTAAAGGTATGAATTTTTTTAATTTTCGGTATTTCGGTATATACCGAAATACCGTTAATTTTCGGTATGGTACGGTATATACCAAAATACCGATATACCGAAATAGAATTTGTAAATTTTTAGGGCCAAACCCATTAAATGAAATTATTAAAATACCAAGGTCCAAAATTAAAATAACCCATTTTATAATACTACGGTCCTTCTCTAGTTCTCCCAAGTAGAGGCCTAAATCCCTAATCAAATAAATGGGAGAATTTGAGTTTGCACCCCATGTTTTGGGTGATATTTGACTTTGCACCCCATTTTTAAAATCATTAATGTATGCACCCCATTAGCCCAAAAATTATGAAGGAGTGGGGTGCAAAGTCAAATAATTTTATAGTGAATTGGGGTGCATACATTAATGATTTTGAAAATATGGTGCAAACTCAAATATCACCCAAAACATGGGGTGCAAAGTCAAATTCTCCCCAAATAAATCAACGTAGAGTCAAGCAGCTTCTCCTCTCTTCAATGAGTGACAGAGCTGTGGACTATTGAGCATTGACGATGGAGATGCGGACGAGTGACGGAGTACTCAAGAACGATAGAAAACTTTGAGCAAGAGCTGCGGACGAGTGACGAAGACGCCATTGACGAAGCACGGAGTAGCGGACGACCGTCATTATTTGCTAAAGCTTAACCATCCTGGTAATATGAACAATCTGGTCTATGCTCAAATAAATGGGAGAATTTGAGTTTGCACCCCATGTTTTGGGTGATATTTGATTTTGCACCCCATTTTTAAAATCATTAATGTATGCACCTCATTAGCCCAAAAATTATGAAGGAGTGGGGTGCAAAGTCAAATAATTTTATAGTGAATTGGGGTGCATACATTAATGATTTTGAAAATATGGTGCAAACTCAAATATCACCCAAAACATGGGGTGCAAAGTCAAATTCTCCCCAAATAAATCAACGTAGAGTCAAGCAGCTTCTCCTCTCTTCAATGAGTGACAGAGCTGTGGACTATTGAGCATTGACGATGGAGATGCGGACGAGTGACGGAGTACTCAAGAACGATAGAAAAATTTGAGCTAGAGCTGCGGACGAGTGACGAAGACGCCATTGACGAAGCACGGAGTAGCGGACGACCGTCATTATTTGCTAAAGCTTAACCATCCTGGTAATATGAACAATCTGGTCTATGCTCATTCTATATTTATAAACAAATGATAAAGTATATTGATAAAATATTTATACGGCGGACGACCATCATATTACCAAAGTAGAAAAATCTCTTATTTATACGGAGCTGCAACAATGATTCAAAGATTTGTTATTACAAACATTAGTTATCATTGATTTATGTTGGATAAATATTCTAATTTTCATTATGGATTGTGTTGAGACTTGAGATATTAGCACATAATTTTAGTATTTTCTACTTTGGATTAAATATTATGTTTTAGTTTGGGTATCGGTTTATGTATTGATGTCGTATGCTACTTTTGACTTGTTAAAATCAGTTTTTTGGATGTTCGGTAGGCCCCTTAAGCTAATACTTTATACGGAATTGCCAAGAAGTTTATTTTTTTTTGAATTTTCGGTATAAAACGGTATGGGTTACATACCGTACCGAATTTTCGGTATACCGAAATTCGGTATACCGAAAGTTTTGGTATGGTAACGGTATGACATTTACCAATACCGGATTGTCGGTACGGTATGCGGTATGGCGTTGAAATTTCGGTATACCATACCGAACCAGCCCTACTTATATCCTACATCCAGGTGTACGGTCAACACCGTACATCCAGTCCAATTATTGAAGACAACAACCCCATCAATTAATACAGCTCATAATCAAAAGGTTCACTTTTTTGAAGTGGTGACATTTTCGTAATATAAGAGAAAAAATCGCGGCTTTCACTAAATGAGCACTAACGTACTTTTAGTGAACATCAGACCTATTTTATTGAGTATTAGGAGTCAACAATGAGCATCATCCTCTTCGCTTCATATCTTCTAATTCATTT